AATTAAATCAGAGTACCTTATCCTAGAAAACAAGATTACCTTGTTAATTTCAATCAGAATCAATTGTGGAACTAATCAACAATATTTACCTGCAGGCTAAATATGTGTTTCTGATCTATATTCAACTGTAGATCAGAAATGACAGCTGATATTTGGAAAGAAATTAAATCTTGTCATTATATCTTAGGTCTTCCAAGTCTGCTTATTTGGCTTCATGATTCAGTACACAACATCAGGCATCAAACAATCTGATAAAGGTAGTTGTGTTTCTCAGTAGGGAAATTCTGTATTTCCAGAATACTGCCACAAAAACTGTACTCCAAAATGTGCAGATAGTTCAACACACAACTTCCCCTTTTCCTAAATGTTTCTCTGCTTGTAGCATTCTACTATCCAGCCAGCTCGCACTTTAGGGATCTGACATGTTTTAAAACCAGCCTTACCAAACTAAAGTGTCTAAGTACTAGCTGAACAGCAGCCTGCTCTTAATTAAAACCAGGCATTGCTCTTGTAGCAGTATGACCACGAGAGGGCCCGTCGCCAGTTGTGATGATAACGTCTCACAAGCGCTGTATGGCTCCGTACAAGACTTCTATTTTTGCTTTCCCTGCCTTTCTCTGTCCTTTTCAACCCCAAAAGGAATTGAGTAACCTTATTTGTTAATTAACTGACATAAGTCTCCAGGCAGGTTCTTATTAATCCCGTAAGTGCTACCTCAAAGATGTAAAAATAAAGCAGAGATGATCATCAAGCTAAGACATAGTGCATCTGTTTCCACTTAGAAAATGAAGCAAGGGAAGAAAGGCAGATAGATAATATTTGTGGAACAAATAAGATAGAAGCATAGGGGGCAGAAAGCAGGAAAAATGGTAGCAAGTAGAAGCCAGATCTGAAGAAGTGTAAAGTGTGTTATCACAAAAGTCAAAACTTCTAAGGTTTTTTAAGGTATTTTTAAAAAGCAGCCATAGTTTGAGAATGATAAATAAAAACACTGAATTAATGCAATGTTTTTTCCTAAGTATCATACATTATTTAAATTTACCAATGGCCACAACAATAGAGTAGAAGAGATGCATTCAGTTGTCAGCTTCCTCTAGCAGCTTTAAAACTTCTCCTCTATGGCCTCCCCTCTCAGGTCCCTCAGATCACATATTAGAAATTGTGTTTTCCATGTAGATGTACGGACCTGACTGATTAAATTGTGTAATGTTTTACTTACCCCTGAAGTGTTTATTCCCTAGATTTATTTGTTTCCTATTGTTTTAAATATGATCATATTATCCTGCAGAATTTTCTTGCAACAATAGTAGCAAAAAATGGCTTCTCTTGCTTTAGAAATAAACTAAATACTGCTATTGATGACATGAATAGGAGTTAAATTTTTGTAAACAAGGAAGAGCACATAGTATTATATGCAGACATAAAATTTGGGCAGCTAGTCAGCATGCTTATGATCCCATTTAAAATTAGATTTATGCTTTGCCAAAGGATTCTTCTCTGTCTTCTTTCCCATGGGATAGCAGGCCCTTGTAATTCTTAGGATGTTACTGAAATTCATTAGAGGTACTTAGTTAATAATTCTTGCTAGGGTTTTTTTCTGAATTTCTCTCTCAGAACAAATATTTAAACCAAAGAGTAATGGTTGTTTTACCTGATATTAGTTAGGGTTGGTGCAATTCACAGTAGCAAATTCCTATGTTCTCCCACTGCACTCAAAATCAAGGTGAAGCAAGATTAGACTTACTTTATCTACACTAGTATAATTTTTAAACAGTATGACTACCTAAGCATGTTGTTACTTCATGGAGGTTGATGGATGTAGGTGCATACATCTATAATTCAATAATCTAAATAAGGGATAAGAGATTCACAGCTTTCAGTCCCTATTTAATCTAGTTTGTAGCTTTAGAAAGGGAAATCTGTGCCACTTGGCAGTGAGTATATATCTAAAAGATGATATTTTCAGTTACTGAAAAGTTTCCCTTTAAAGGAAATTCTGAATATGCTTGAGTACACAATATCCAGCCTATGAGACAATCAATCAGTTGACACCTTTAGTTCAGGCTGCTAGCTGATGGAGTACACCTGCAGGTCTAAAAGAAGAGTTTACTTCTCTTGACTGAGGTTTCTTTGAGCCACCACTATAAAAAAATTAAAAACAAACAGGAACTTATGGTCTGTGCAAGCCTGTCCTACATATTCCCTTTTATCTTAATTATTTTTCTAGAAACCGCATTGCCATGAATCCTTATGGCCTACTAAACTGGCAAAAGAGCACTTTGGGATTCACCTGTATCTAACTCCCGTTCAAAGCTGGACACAATAAGCTGCCATTCTGGATGACACCTTCTTTGCTGACACAAGGACAGCGCAGCTTTGCCAAACAGCACTGTGAGAGGGCAATTAGCAACCTGCCATCACCTCCTGAAACCCAAGCCATCAACTGCTCAGATGAAGGGGAGCTGTCAAAAGCCAATTCACTTTTAGCAATCAACACCTGAAATCAGGTCAGTGGCTTTGCAGCATAAGATGTTTCTTGCTGTGCCCAAGAAACTGAAGTTTGCCTTGCTTGCCAGTCTCTCTTGACAGTCTTAATAAGACTTAGCCAGTGCAACCCAATTTCTTGCAATCTAATTACCTCCTTTGCAAGCAAAGCGCTGCAAAAATGAGGTTCATATGTTCCTGTTTCCTCCAAAGATGGAGCCATAGCCATTTATACTCTCAATTTTCAAAAGGTTTCTGATAGGCCAGACATGATGTATCAGTCCTCACATTAAACTTTCTGATATCCTTTATGATATTTCATGTTGTCTCAAAGTTGTTTTGTAGTTAATATTATGCCTCCTACTAGACTATTAGACGGAATGTTTTGCAAGCACAAGGTGGTTCAAATCTAGCTTGAATCATTCGGCTTGGTAAAATAAACAAGCCAGTGAGAGCATGAAATTTCATATCAACCTTTACAAGACTTATGTATTGCACTGCAACATGAAATAATTGTTGCACTCATTCAAGAGGCAAAAGAAGGAAAAGACCAAAAGGAAGTTTTATTTCTGACCTTGCAATATATAGAATTCTAAAAGTGACAGTGGATTGGAGGATGAAATTGCTGCCTCTCCAACCACATTGGTCAAACCAACAGTCCATCAATTCTCTCCTCCCACAAAGAAGAATGCAAAACAATAATTATTTGCATGAACAGTGAGTGAGAACTCCAGTAGAAATATGTAAACATCAGAAAACTTTTAAAAGAACTTTAAAACTTTTAAAAGAGCAGGGTGACAATTATGATTGCTATTGCTCAAAGTAGAACTGCCAGAGAAGTGTAATATGTCATTCCTCTTCAAAAACTTAGTAATACAAAGACTTTACCAGATTTAGTATAACTGAAGTGAATCAGCTGCTGGAATGTATAAAACCCACCAACCACCAGATTCCTGACTTTCTTACTCAGCACACAGGTCTTATAAAAGGATGGTTTAGTAGACTGCCCAAATAACATGGAATGAGCTCTGTAGTGTGAGTTTGTTTGGTCAGGATAAAATGAGTAATTTCTAATTATTTTCCTAGGGACAGACAAGGTGATTTATACAGGTAAAAAGAGGTAGAAATTCTTGTATACAGTATATTTTCTGTAGCATACAGGATATTCTCACTGCAAGCTGCCAACCAATACTCTGAAGAAGATTCTGAATACAATTTTGTACATACTGATCTATATATCTCTAGATATAGATATCATTAACTCTCTATCTAAATATAAAATAGACCTTGACAGAGATTCTCAGAATTATATCTATACATTGTTATATAGAACTGTTATTGATCTATACAATAATTATCCATATATATTATCAGAGATATATTAATAAGTATGCATTATACATGATTATATAGATATATTGCTTACCTCTATTTCAGTTTAATTTATCTGTTATAGTCAGCATAATTATTGGTTATACAGTTTAGGGGCTGTACCTTTTTGTTGCAGATATTATGTAATGCACTACAGCAAATTCTATGCAGCACTACTAGCCAGCATCTGTCTCCAAGGCAGAAAATGAGGGTCAGCTCATCTTCACAATGCTGTTCAAAGAAGTGAGCAAAGATTAGCTTCAAGCTACAGTAAATTCCCTTGAGGTTGCTGAGGTAGATGGACTGTGTTTCAAGTCAACTTGTCAATGCAGCAGTATTTCAGCCCAGAAAAACACTTGCTCAATAAAGACTAAACCAGAAAAGTCAACATAGTGCCTTACACAGAACTATAATTCCTTTTCCAAGTTAAGACTAAACTGATAAAACTGCTCTTAGATAAATCTCTGATTTTTTTCAACCCACATCAAGCATTTTATCATAAAACAGTCATGCACTGGATACTGCTCAACCACCAACACATGCTCCATAGAGCTGGATGGCTTCTTAAAATCTGGAGAATTTTATCCAAGCAGCTGGAAACTTGCCTTTGACATCTCAGAGCCAGCTGCCTACCTATGGTTGACTTTTTTTCCCTTGTGCTCAGTACTTTGTGAATCTGTGGCAGATTATAACCTTGACCAGGGGGACAGGTACAATAAGACCACAATCAGTAGAAGAAAAGTGGTGTCTAAGTATTTTCAGATTTAAAATGTGGTATTCATTTATTATTTTTCTTCACTTGTGAGGTTCAGCACACCAAAAACCTCCAAAAGCATATCTATTAAGGAACAACTCAAAAATGGTTTTTTATGCCTTAGCTGCACCAAAGTGTAAACTTTAGCTAAACATGTTTAGCTCCCTTCAGACCTAAATGGGCTCTTTTTCTTCCCACAGGAGGCAGAGGAGGCTGTGACTTGGACAGGGCCAAGCTGAGCAGGTCGGCAGGCACTGATTACCCTGGTCAGCCTCATGTGAGTCTCTACCCATCCACCAGCCACCCTTTGGCCCTGGAACTGCGTTCAAACCTCAGCAGATGGGGGTTTAGACATTGCTGGAGCAGGAGTGTCTGTGTGCTGTCCTGGGGTTTAAGTGACCCTGATACTGCTGGCTGTAGGTATCCTGGCTCTTCTTGCTCAGATACAGCATAGCTGTACCCTTTTTGGGGGCTGGGGGAAGTGTTTATTACTGCCCTGTTGCCATTCCACCCTACTGCCCTTTCCTGTCAAGGGATTTGAGTCCCCTATCAAAATAAACTTGGGCTGCTGCTATGGAAATGAAATACCAATTTTGTATTAAGTCTTCAATCTCTTGCTGAAAAAGGGCCTGATTTGTGCTAATTCCTGTGATAATTGAAAATTGAGAGAAACACTGGATGCAGAGTAAAAATGAGTAAGTCTAGATGATAGGCCAGAGAAAGGAAGGAAGCTGCAGCTGGAGAGAGCACAGTAACTCACTATTTACTACCTACTGGCTGCAAGTATAATCATAGGTAAAATCACTTTTTTTCTGTGTGGGTGCTAAGAAAATGCATTGCAACATCAAAATTGTCTTCTATGCATTGCCCCAGTGGCCTGTACTAGGCACTAAACTGCAGTGAAGGCAGGTCTTATCTTGTTTGCCTAATGCTGGGTAGTGTAAGTGGTAGCTCAATTAATATACTTGCTTCTGTTTCAGAGACAAGTACCTGGTTATGTGATATGTGTACATCACACAGAGCAAGTCCCCAGGGCTGTGACATTTGGAGATATTCCGTGGCTTTGCAATTAAATCCTCACCCTGTCTAAAAAAACTTCAACAAATAAACAAAAACTGACCCAATGAAAATCTTTAGGTGGAAGACTTATGATACTGTCATAGTTTATGTGTGATAGTCTGATGATTCTTATTAAACAATTCTTCTGGATAGCCTACAACTTTTACCAGAACTTAGTATACCTTCCACAAATATCTTATCTTGATTTAAACAATTCACATGGAGTGGAATCTGATGTGCTCGATTGAATTTTTGTTGCAGCTTTATCTGGTAGATTTAATAGGTATCTTATCTTACTTGCTAAGTGTCTTAATACTTTTGTTTTTTTCTGCCTGTTTTGTGGTAGTAGTAACACCAGAGTGGTGTTGGGTGGTACATGGTTACTTTTGGTCCCCTTTAGGTCATGCCATAGCATCCTGAACTCATTCAGAGTCAGTCATCCAAAATAGCTCTTCTCATTCTAGTAGTAAGTCCTGCCAGTTTGGGTAGAAGAACCTCTTGTCTTCTGTATAACTGTATTGAATTCAGAGTACAAGGGGATGATACAGAAAAACTGTACAATTTCCCTGTCTCTATAATATGCAATGTCACAGACCTGTCTTCTGTAATCTTTTATAACAGCAGTTTTATCTTGCCCTGTAAGCTCCACAGCTAAGATGCAAGTAATCTATCAATTGTAAAAATAAAAGTAGATGTCATTTAATAGTTGTACTAAGTCTTGCTCTTTCTCTGTGCAACCCAGCTTAGACCTTGAACACTCACTCAGCAATTGTTTTCATTTTTCTTGCTCTTTCAGAGCTTCTTCAGCAGCTCTTCTTCTAAATAAGATATTAGGTCTTAGATAAACAAGTACTGCACTTCTATATCTATTTTTCCTATGTTTACTTTCCTTGGTATTTACCCATAATACTGCTTCCATCACCAACTTCAGCCAAAATGACCTGGGCTAGCATAAATGTGGCTAACATTGGATCAGCCCAGCTGGATGAGGCTAGGAAGAAAACGTGTGGCTTCTCTTGTGACTCAGGAAGCAAAGCAGCAGGTGGTTAAAGGCAGGCAGAGGCAGCTCCAGCTGCAGACAGGCTGAGCTATGACTGCAGTCTCAGTTCACTGAACATAAGCCTCTCCAAATCATCATTCTGGCTTAGATTTGACTTATTCCAGCCAATGTGTGCCAGATCAGGTGATATAATGCTCTAAGAATATCAAAACCATCAAACTGTGTAGAGCTGGCAAAAGCATAGCTTGACTATTTGCATCAAATTTATATTGCCAGATAGTGTCAGCAACTGACAGTAGGCAAGGCATTAAGAAAAAACTCCGGGCTTTATAGTGCCATAGAAATATAATTTCCATCCTTCTGTAATAAAAGGGCAAAAGAGATGCCAAAACCCTTTGCCACAAGGCACTTTAAACTTGAGCAACCTATAGTCTACTTGCACTTCTATGTATTCTTTACCTGACTATAGAAAAGCTCTCTGCATAGCCATGGAAACTAAGCTTTACATGTCTAGGATAATTTTGTAGGATTCATCTGTGTTACTTACTGGAAACTTTACAGCACATTGCAAAAGAGAAACACTCAAGATAAATAGCGTTTAATAAATATCCTAATTGAGCAATATTGGAGTTTTTTCGCTTGTATGTAGGGGCTATACATTTACAACTATGTATGTCTGGGCTTGAATCTGCTTAATCTGGCTTCAGAAATGTGAGAAGTTCAAAGAAAATTCTGTGTTTATTATGAGGTCTTGTTCTGGAATTTGTTCAATATTTCTGAATAGTGAAAGATTCTAAAAATAACAGTGCAACTTGGGCTTCATCTGTAATTAAGTGTCTTACTTGGTGAAAATTGAATACTCCCTTGGGGAAAGAGGATTTTAAATCACTATTGGCTTGGATAATGCTCATAGTAAAAAAGCAAGCTGTAGTGTCATAACATATGTCCAAATGCAGGGTGATATAATCCATCAGAGACTTGGATTTTTGAGGCCTCCAAACTGCCTCATGGTCTTCAAAGTCCTTTGTTTCCTGCTCCAAGCATTCAGGTATAACCTTTCATCACTTTCTTTCCAGTAGAAGTACACCTTTCTCTTTTGGCTCCAACTCTCTAATGTATGCGTCTTTATTGAAAACTCAGCTGAAAGAAGATGGCTTTGTAAAACAGTTTTGTTGCAATAAAACTTCAAAACAGTTTTGTTGCAATAAAACTTCAAAAGCATGCATTCACTGCAGCATTAAGTATGGGGACAGAGCAAGCAGTGGGGTAATCATTCAGGGAGAGCAGAACTGCAATTCAGTGTGAGGGTCAAAACAAAGCCTGGCATCAAAAGGCATGAAGACTTAAGTGGTAGGGCAAGCCTCTCTGTGGATGGGGAAGATGGAAATTCCCAGTACCTGTATTTAAAGAAAATAAATTCTGAAATGTCACATATGACAGCCTAGCCCATTAGCAGTCACTGGCTGTTTGAGGGCCCCAGACAAGTGCTTACCCCTTGAATTTAGAGCTCTGGGAGATAGGAAGGCTCAGAGGTAGGGCTTATTTTTTGCCTTTGGCTTAGTATCCCTTCCCTTCTAAGGAGGCACCTGGACTTAGAGACATCAACCCAGAAATGGGAAAAAGGGACAGGCTAGAAAAAAAACATTAAAGATGCAATTTACATCAGGTAAACATTGTTTTGACAATGTATGTAGTTAAACTACACTTGGAAAATTATCCTTGCCCTTGAAATAAATAGTTGAGGTCACATAATTGAATCTAAGTAGTTACTAGTCTTTACAAACATCACTGCCAAATAATAGTGTTTCTCTAAAAGTGCTACTGTAATTTCCTTTAATGGTTTTTTCTTCAGCTGTGTCTAATAATATTTAACTTTTTCTTCAACTAGAATTTTCCATTGTTGCTAACAGCAGCGCACCTCAGAGGAGGGAGCTTTACTGTAAACAGTGCTCCAGACAGCAACTAACATTTAAAGCAGTCCAACCTCAAAGCAGGGCTCTGTGACCTCCTCTATAAAACACCAGCAGCTGTCTGCACCCTGTCTACTCCAGCACACTCACTGCTGCTTCTGGCTGAGCTACTGCTACTGCTCGTCTGCACTTAAAATAATCAGGACAGGCATTAGGGAATAACTGCTTTGGTATAAGCCTAGAGCTATTACAAGCCTAGATTCACACCAAGAGCCATTTCAGAATGTCCAAGTGTAGTAAATTTCCACTCATAGACAAGCCCTTAGCATGGGAAACAAACTTCAGAAAATGCTTCTTGATGTGGATGATCTCTGCAGCATTCTTGTTGCTGGGAGTCAGCTTACTCTGAAAGAGTTTGAGGGATGAACACTGACAACCTACCGCTGAGGACAACAGAAGCTGAAATAGCTATGAGCTGCTATTTATTGCTTGTGTACTCCTCTAACCTGACTGCAGTAAGATGCACAGCTCAGACTAATTTCCAAGTAGGCAGACCTTTAGCATGTAGCATGTAGCTCAGATATCAGAGGAATGAATGAAGTAATTAAGGGATGAATCAATAGACTCAATCAGGATCTCAGATGGGTGGGACCCAGGAAGATCTCATAAATGAGAGAAACTTACCCCAGAAACTGGTAATTAGAGGGAAGAAAGGTATTAGCAGCACCGAAGTCCAGAGCCCTGTGCCTGGGGATAGGTGGTGAGGAATTGACTTTTATCAGCATTTTCATGCCTATGGTAACTTTGCCTCTTAAAACCTGTGAAGGGTAGTGCTCAAAGTAGAATAAAAACACCCTGAAGAACATACATACATCTATGAGACCTGATGAGATGCATCCCAGAGTCCTGAGAGAATAGACTAATGTAGTTGCTAAATCACTCTCCATGGCATTAGAAAAGTCAGGACAAGTGAGTGAAGTCCCAGGTAATTGGAAGTAGGGAACATTGCATCCATCTTAAAAAAGGTAGAAGGAACTACCAACCTGTTAGCCTTAGCTCTGTGAACACATCTTCCTGGGAGCTGTGGTAAGGCAACAGAGCCATTCAGTAGTAAAAAAAAAAAAAAAATAAAAAAAAAAAATTGTTAGTATTTCAAATTCAGCCTTATGGAAAGCTTTTGTTGACTGATTAAAATTATTCTGTGTGTACCTAATTCTTCTTGAGATTGATTATGCTGATTGCCTTAAAAACTTCAACAAATGGAGAAAAATTTCTCCATTTGTTGAGGATTTCCTAGGGCAGCTAATCCCTGAAATGGGAAGAGAAAAATGAGAGACGTGTAAATAGGTGACCTGAGCTTCAAGAACATGCAAGCAAATTAAAAATATCAGTGCAAGGAATTGAATTTTTTTTTTTAGGATTCACCATTGCATCCACTAGAGTGACT